ACACACACACACACACACACACTTTATGGATGATTTTTAGGGTTGAATTTCTAGAATTATACATGAATAAATACGGTACTTTTTACTGTTTCCAGAAGCTCAAACTCCTTGTGTATTATAATAATCACATAAGATGATTGATTAGGCTTTCCATTTAAGGTACAAAAACAAGATTGTACCACACTGAGGAGTTGTGATAATTTGATAAAAACACCATGAACAAAAAACATCTGTACAATTGTCTAACAGGTGTCAGTTCTTTTGCATTTTGATCGTTTAAAAGTGTTTTTCCACTGTCAGATTTTAAACTATTAAGAGACTAAACTAAATAAAAATATACTGTTCTTCCTTTTTTGCTTATCCAAATTCCTCCCATCCAGTCAGAAATGAGTCACGTCCTCCATCCTTCGGCTCTGCAGGTGGAGGTAACGTTCACCCGCCCAGGCTGAGCAGTTGGCTGGTTAGAATTTACAAAAAGTTATATATATATATATTTAAACAGAACCATAAATATGAAGCAGTTCATCTCTTTGGCGTTCTTGTTTCTTGGTTGGATCTAAACCTGCCTCCATCTGGAAATCTACTCCCTCCCACAGGCTGTTAGTGGGGGCTGTGTGGGCGGGTGTCGGTGCTCCATCAGTAACAACTCATGAAATCTACTCAAATCAAATGTGACATCTGCAGCAGACGGCTCTCATTCATCTGTAAGCACTCCTGTCTTCATTAATACACTAAATGGATGTGTAAGGTAGGTTTTACTGAAATACTTGTACAGTTAGAAGTCATTTAATGTTTGTTTTTTGTCATCTATGGTGTGAAGCGGTGACACATTCACAACACAGAAGTTGAAATATGGTTCATTTCAGCACAAAACGTGTCAGAAACAGGTCATCCATGTTATGAATGTGCTGTGTCAGCAGACTGTGTCCAAGCTGAGATCCAACTTTAATTTTCATGTTTTTGTTGAAGTACATTTGAAGCTATTCAGAAGTATTGTTTTAATCAAAGCCACAGGAAATAAAGTGCCCGACTTCTTTCAAGGCAATACTTGTTTGGACTGTGGTCCGTTCTTTCAAGGCTTTGTTTTTGTTAAATCTGGCTGCCTTTTCATTTATTTTCTGCCCACTGTGCCCAGTTTTTGCACTCTACAACAGCTGCAAATTGGGCCAGTAAAAATAAATTAGACAAATTGAGAACTAAAAAGGAACAGGCTTTAAAAGAAAGTCTCTCCTCAGCAGATTGGATGGTATGATAAAGTCTTTGTCTTTAAAAATCAATCTTTGGGATCATATTCCCAGTTCATCTTTTAAGTTGTACAACCTTTTTTTCTTTGCTTGAATGATTCATAATCAGAATTAAGAGGCCTATCAATAATAAAAATTCTCTAATCACAAATTCTAATGGTTAGGACAATGAACTAAAGATAGTAGAAAGCAGCTAAAGGTAAAATATTTTCAAAAAGTCTGAAGAAATAAAGATTTCACAATCTGGGTGTCTGAAATGTGAAGAATTTAGATATGCTCACATTTACACAGGCCTGTTCAATCAAAGGAAGTTTTAAAAAAATGAAGACTTTATTACAATATATTTTACTATAAACTTACAAAAATAAAATATGTCATAACACCTTTCCATGTAAACAGTATTTTACCAAAACCTAAAGAAAAAAAAGGCACAAGCCCATTATAAACCCTCTAAGTGAAACCCTTCAGGCATTTTGTTGTTAAAAATCACAAATGGAACATTTTAACACAATTAGTTTAAATTGACAAAAATCATCCAAAACACCAACTTTCCAAAAGTGCATCCAAAAACTTAATGAATTTCAAATTTAGGTTTAACTCTAATTTAAAAACAAGGCATTTTCTCAGTGTTCTGGCATTAATGTAAAGTAAATAATTTACTTCCAAAAAGKCATTGGAACATTTAATTCTTGCTTTTGATAAATTGAGATCTGTTTAGTAAAATGTTGTGATCACAGGAGTGACTCCATGAACGAGCAACGTTGGACCCAGATCCTTGCTCAGCAGGTCCATCTGATGAAGGTAGGTGCGATAACAGCTCATGTCTGTTGGTGGGTGGGGCAAATACAGGAAGCGCACAGCTGGTTTAGGTGAGCCATGCCGGCAAATCAGACTGTTGACGGCGCTGATAAATTCATCTGTCAGATGAGATGTAATGTGGGGGAACGACTGAATACCGTCTTCCTCCTCACCTTCTTGTCTCAACCTTTGTTCATCATCATCGTGTGAATTCTGCCCCAGGCTTTCTTGGCCCCTCCCACCTCGTCTCTGCCAGTGCAGCGCCACCACCTGGTCCCACACCACCACGTGCACCTGAGCMGTTATCCTGAGCTCCTTCAGCATCCTCTGGACCTTCTTCATCTCATCTTTCTGCAGACTGCCACCCGCCTCCACACACAGGAAGAGGCGTAGTTTGGCCTGGTTCCAGGCCCGGGTTTCATGGAGCACGCAGGCCAGCTGCAGCAGGAACAACGAGCAGACGTTGACGTACCCATGGCTGTCTGGATTGAGCAGATTTAGAGGCCACACATCCACAAATAACTCTGTGATGCTTTGGTCACCAAGCGGTTTTTTTAACCCTAAAATTTCGTTTCGATTGAACTGGTTGAAGTAACGAGCCAGAGCCACGTTCTTCCCCAGTTTTACAGCATCAGCAATTATGGACACGTATTCCTCTTCCTGCAGGTCTTTGGAGTCGCCGGCCCCCCGGACAGCAGGAAAGAAAGGGGAGGGCTGCTGTCCAGGCTCCGAGGCTGGGCAGGCTTTGTCCAAACCAAAGACTGTAGATGAAAGAGTTTCATTGCAGAGGTTGTCTTCAGGTGTAGAATCATCATAAAAACCCAAGATGAGGGTGTTTGGCCTCATTCCACCTAGACAACAGATTTACTGAATAAGAATCGACTTCATGAAAATAATTCAGAACCCTTGTTCAAAATCAGCGCAGAAGTCAAACAATCCTACCGAAGCCTGAGATGAACAGCAGATTCTGGACTCCATGTCGGACGGAGTCGGCCAGAGTTAGGTTAACAAACGCTTTGATCTTTAGATGATCCACTAAAGACAGCCAGGAGTCGTAACGACTCTGCAGCGGATCAGAGAGCAAACCATCTGCACCCCAAACAAAGCAATGAAGATAAAAACAGAATTACTGACTTTATCTCCTCAATTTAGAGGGGAAACTAAAAACTCTATGTTTAAGCCAGTTATTTAAATGGCTGTATAATTAAAAATGGCACTCAAAATACCTTTGAAGTACCCACTACAGATATTGTAAGAAAAGTACTTCATGAACATTTTTCTCCTGGAATCATCAGTTATCTGTCTGCAGTTTTGCAGCAATTGGTAAAATTATTCTTTTAGGCTGAATCTGTGATTCAAACTGGTCCAGACTTTAAAAAAAGAGAGAAGCTGAAAGTATTTGAGCAACTGTCAGGGTGTTTAAAATGCTAATAAAAATAAGTGCTACACACCTATTAAAGATTAAAACAAAAAGCTTTGAACACAGAAAGTAGATTTTCTCTTGCTGTGAAATCTCCTTTGAATTTATCACAGTTGTTGCAGATGTCTGACAGTTACTTCTGACACCCACAGAGGCTTTTTTAAATGCACTTTTTAAAACATTTCTTACCAATGGATCCCAGCTTTATGTGCCCCAGCACATAGAGGCCACTCTTCTTCAGGTCATTGATGAAAGTCATCAGACCCGTACAGGTGCGAGGGTTTCTAACCATCAGTAACACCTGCGGCCTCCAGAACTTCACATGGTCTTTACGCACGTCCAACATCAGCAAGTACTTACGTACCTAAACAATTAAAAACTTGGTTTGAGTGAATAGAACTAAAAAAAGAAAGGTCCTGACTCAAATCCTGTCACTGAAAGAGATAGTGTTACCTGATGGAAGATCAGAGCTTGGCTGATGTAGCCCCAGTTGCTGATGGGACCCAGGTGATGGATGAGCATGAAGAGCAGCAGCATAAAGGCCATGCTGGCAAAAGCATGAATGGAGCTAATCAAGAACATCATTACCAGGCAGCCCAAGAAGCCCAGAGTGCACGTGTGCCAAGTAAAGCAACGGAAAGTGGGTCTAAAATAAAAAAAGCAAAAACTGGATTCAATGTTCGAGCTCATTAATTTTTAAACAAAAAGACTTCCTGCCTGAAATCATACCTGAAGTTTGGAGCAGAAGCCCATTCAAGAGCTAAACAGGCCAGATTTAAAGCAGCGTACACCAACAAGAAGAAAATGGTTACAATACCAGCAATGGTGTTCAATTTACCAGCAAACAGCACCACCTAGTGGAAGAAAAATAACACTGCATGTTCTCTGACAAAACTGCAACGACGTTAGAAAACCCTACAATGAATGAATGAATGTCTTCACACCTTGGGCCATCATCTAACAAATATTAACAAGTAGAAAACTTGTTTTAAAAAAGTTTCAACTCTTTGGTGAAACTAAGAAAATAAAAGCACAACAGCTTTATAAACCCTAAATAAAAACATTTCCCAACAATGTCTTAAATTATAGCTACACTGATAATGAACTCTTACACAACCACTCATTTTAAACGAGTACTTTAAGCTACAACGTTGACAGAATTCAGCCTTTGCCAGTCTGCTTTGTTTAACCAATATTCAGTATGAACAGGAGACAAAGATCATTTTGTCTCCTTACTTTAACTCTTTACTTTTGTGTTCACATTAAGACAACTTCCTCACAATCACTACATACAAAAACAAGCAAAATAATTCAACAGTAATCCGTTACTGGCTGTTGTCTTGTCCCTCATGGCAGGAAGTAAAATGTAAATAACAGTCCTTTTTCATTTTTACCTTGAGTGAAATTGTAGTTTGATATAACATTTCTTTATGCATTTAAACTTTGAAATATTAATTTTGGGGTTGTGGACCATTGATTACTTAATGCCAACATTTAATAAATACAGCCAAGTCTGAGAACATGGGAAGTGACTGTTAAAGAATAGCTTTAGACACCAACATATCACATTTCTTTAGGTTTTATTTTGAGTAGAGAAATTTTACCTGCACAAGCAACCAGGAGATGAGCACAGAGACCCAGGGGTTCTCGGTTCGAGACGTTTTCTTCGCCAAAGCCAGGGCCCCGCCTGTAGAAATTTATAACACTGAGAAAAGTCTGTTACTGCTAATCATCCAAAAAAAAAAAAAATCAAATCAACAACTGAGTCATCGTGCACTCAGCAACCCAAACGCACAATGAGTTTTTTTCCTGCTTTAGAGAAAGTCAGCACCAGGAGCCATCTGTTGTCAAATGAAGCCTTTCAAAAGAAAAGATTTTCATGAGGAATAAAAAAGGGATGAAAATCAATAACAAGTGCCAGTTTTTCCACATCAGAAAAGGCAGCCAATTTGAACAGATGGATGAATAATAAAATATCGATTCAGATTCATGGAAGATAAGCTAACCTGCATATGCTTTTATAGACTACGAATCAGACATTTAGTCCTGATAATGACCTGAATGGAGATTAAAAGTCATTGTGCTGTAATATAGCCCAGTTCATACTGATTCCACTTATTTTCCACAGCATATTTAGTGACGTGAACAGATTTATAATGATCATCCTCTGATGAAGGCAAAGGTGGACACCAATGTTTTATCCGTTACCAAATCAGCTCATGAACCAGTGGACAAACTGGAATAAAACTTAAAGAAAGTGATTACTGGATGCATTTCTGCAGAGTATGGCTACATCTCAGACAAATTTTACAGATATTGACCTAAAATTTGGTGTGGTAGCAACAGTATTTTTATACCTTCAAATGTTTATAAAGAGAATATTTGTTCACTTATAATCATCCAGTTTTCAGTCGCCTTGCACTGATTCAACTGCATGATTGTCAACATCATGAGTAACACTTTAAATTGCAAACAAGGCAGCGGGACACATTCAGGATTCTCACCCAGCAAGTTATCTTTGGACAGAGCGTACAGGATCCTGGAGGCTCCTATAAGGTTGCTCATTGCAGCAGACATGGCAGAGGAGTAAATACCGACGGTCACCATAGGAGGCCAGACGTTGATGTCTCCCAGAAAACTGTAGTCTCTTTGGAGAAGGTAACTGGGCATGATCAGAAAAAATGTTTCACTTAAACACACTAAAACAGATGACATAATGTTTTCAAGCAGATAAAAAAAGACAATGGTTGTCTTTGAAAAAACAGGTTTAATTGTGGAAGGACTGTGTGTATTGTAAGATGTGTATCTAAAAAAAAAAGTGAGTGTCTGACCGGTCACAGGTCCAAGCAGCCAGCAGACTCAGTAGACCATAAGTGATGAAAGTTGTAAAAACAGCTGTCAGTGTTCCTCTGGGGATAGAAAAGCTGGGGTTTTTCAGATCACCTGGATAAGAAGCACATGTGCTGTTGCCTTAGTGTTGCCAATGTTGAAACTTTTCAAAAAATAAATAATATTGCAGATAATAAGTTAAAACCTGTTCAGATTGAAAACTAAAAACCATTACAAGCAGTACCCAAGAATTAAATGTTTATAAAGCTGGAGCATTTAGATGGAACATTTCCTGCAGCTCAATAGGGATGGGGCATCATGCTTCCAGAAAAACAAAACATCTTTACAGACTGTAAATTTGAGATTCAAAAAGGATCAAGGCTATGATGAATAAGAGCGAGTTAAGCTCTTCAGGTGATACACATCATTAATATTTGCTCTTTGGTGAAGTACCTGACATGTTGGAGCCCGCCATGATTCCTGTGCAGCCGTTAAACAAAACGGCAAACACACTGGCAAAAGTCATCACATCGCCGGTGGTGTAGTCCACTGTGTAATCAGCTGGAGGAGGATAAAAAAAGCAACAAATTATACATAAAAACTAAAATGATCAAGTAAGATTATTTATACAAAGAGTCAAACAGGAGATCATCTCAAAGATGGTTAAATTTAACGACCAACCATCAGATCTGACTTACAGAACAGGTTGCCCTTTAACGTGCCGAGCCAGAAACCAGTATAATTAGAAGTCCGCGTGTTTGTGTTGTTCATTAGAGAAGTTTCAGGCAGGATCACCGCCGTTGGCTCCACAACAAAAAAACTAACGAAGATGGACACCAGGACCGTCACCACGATGATGAAAATAACAAACGTGGCTTTGGCATAAATGTGGGCGCCCACCTGTAGCGACAAACCACTTTAATTTAATTTGATAAGCTCAGACATTTAGAACATCTGTTGATCTTTGTAATCCTAATCACTTTACTCAAGTTCTTGTGCATTAATTAGTCAGAAGAGCTCAACTACATTTCCTGTAGCTTTTTCCTTTTAAACCAGCAGAAAATGTAAAAATAAAATGTTTTAATCCAACATGTGACTTAGTGAGTTTTACAAGATCCAGGAATTAAGACTTTTAGAGAACTTTTATAGTGCAGACTTGACTAATCAGTGTGCATTGCCAATGCAATGCACACTATTGTGATTCGTTTCCCATCCAAGTCATCTCAACTTTGCCATGCTTCTCCTCCTGCATACTTTGGCCTAGAGCTGCCATTGTAATTTATATCTGTAAAGCCCCTGTGCCAAATGATGGCTATGCSTTTTGGTGCCTGTAAAACTTATAGTTTTTGAAATATTAATGTTTAATAAATTATAATGGCAGTCAATGGAGCCTTGTATTGGTCCAATACTGCCCCCTGCTGCATCTACACAATATGGTACTGCACCATAGTTCCATAATATTTAAACTCAGTAGTTCAGTGATTACAATTTTAATATTATATTTTGATGTTTTGCTGTAATACTGTCTTTGTTGTCCTATTGCTGTAATATATTGCACTTAAGTGTCAATAATTGCATTGGCAAGGTAAACTTTTTCTCTATACATACAATCCAATCCCTGGGATTGACCTYTGCCTCATCTCCTATAGTCTCATGATGAGCACTGTGGGCTTTCATGTGGGAGATCAGGGTTCAGATCCAGCTACTGCCACTTTAACAAAAATCTCTGCAAACTTCATATTGTCACACAATTACCTTAATTACAAACACCTGCTGACGTGACAGGCACAAGCTGGTATAGAAAACACATTTGAAATTGGTCAAAGTTCATTCTGCAAGTCCAATGCTGCAGGCAAAGCCATGCTGCAATGACATGCTACGTGGCAATGCACACTTGTTTTTACATCGTAAAAACCCATGTCTAGTTTTTAGTTATTTTGTGCTAATACACACAAGAACTTTTAATATACTTCAGCTTTTATCATGCATTTTCACCCCCCTCATTGCAGCATTGCAACTCACTGAAAGTCCAAATTTTGTACTTAAACAGATAATTTTACTTTTTATTATTTGCATGAGCTGAATGCATAATGTTCATAATTGTGTTTCAATCCCATTTCTATAGATTGCAAAAAGTGTACAGATCTTAAAAATTAAGAAGACAAATTTTGTCAGTCCTCCAGTCAAATCATTTGTGGATTTGTTGGTTTCTTGTCTTCGGTCCACTTTTAACACAAATATATACGTAATACAAATCCCTTATCATAATGTAAATATCAGTTTGTCATCCTAAACCACTTCTAAATAAATAAAGCTAATAGCATCTTACCAGACAGACAATGAAACACAAAAAGAGGAGGACGGTGCCGTACAGCAGACACCACCAGTATCCAGACGGCAGAGACTGATGAAAAGCTGCACTGACTGCATCGCTCTCTGAAAATTAAAAACAAGCTTTTAATTAACTTAAAGAAGATGCCTCAACATAGCAGAATGGTTGATACCTTCTGGCTCTCCAAASGTAGACAGGATGGCTTCGACCAAACCTAAAATATAAAGAGCACAGCCACACACGTTGGCCAGAAAAAACATGATCCCGATGCTGCCACCGAACTCTGGACCCAGGGCTCGGCTGATCATGTCTGACGGTCACAATTAAAGAATTTATCTGTGTTCAGGAAAAGAAACAAGTGTGACGGCTGCCTCTTTCAACAACAAAAAAGGATACAGTAAGCACCGCCAGCATCTAAAGCCCCATTAGTGGAGATGGCACAGATTGAAAAGACGGTCATTGTGATGATGAAATAGGCAACCAGAAGCATGGCGATGGAGTGGTACAGGCCCGCCTGACCCACAACGAATCCTGCAAGAAACCAGAGGAAAGTTATCCAAACCTCCTCACAAACAGGAGAAATGYAACAGAAGCACAATGAATCAGACTTATACACAGCTCTGCCTGTAAACTAAGCATTTCAGTCCAAAAAAATGTGACCGATGCTGACAAAATGAGTCAGAATGAGAACAGGCATTTCAAGATCGAGTCCATTAAAGGCAACATCCCGTTACTAAAATAGGATATAATCTTTTTATGCTAACTTTAAATCAAAGTTTTGACAGTTTTTCCTGTCATCTGTCATAGTGTTGGGAAATTCATTTATGTAGCTTGAGCATTCTCCTTTTTTAAAACTAAGGCTGCAATTTCACATCATTTACGACCAAATAGAAAACATGATAAAATAAAATTTTAAAAGGGGTTTTCAAAGTTTTCCACTCTTGTAAACAAGCTTGTTGTCAGTCTAGGTGATGAATGACCAAAGTTCAACAAACTATGCATCATACCTGTGATGGAGAATTTGAAAATAACTCTACTGGAATAAGAAAATCCTCATTGTGACTCATTTCACCTGCAAGGGTAAATAAATAAATAAATAAAAAAACTAAAAGTGTTGAGCTGCAGCTACACTATTTGTTGCAAAATGTAAAAGGACAAGTATGTCCTGTGCATCTTTTGATAATTATTCATTTTCCCAAGACTTTTTACCCAAAAACAGTTAGTTCAAACAAACAAAACAAACAAACAATAACCCTTCAGTCCATTTTTGTTCACCTAAATGTTGTAATTGTCATAAAAATCAAAATTTCAAAGGAACAAACTAAATATGAATAAAGCTGAAAACGCGTCTGAACCATAAAGATGATTCAGAAGATGGCTCCTCCTGAATCTCTCAAAAATTAAATGTTCTGTACAATTTTCTCAGACTTGATTTTTAAAAGACATTTTTTAACCTACATGGTTCTTATTATTGGTAATTTATTTTTTAAAGCTCTGTTAATTTAAAATAATCCGATATAACAAGAGTCTCTTAACCGTCTCGATGTGATTTTTGTCCAACTCACCAACTCGCAGGAACACCACGACGCTGAACATGGACAGTAAGGTTGGGATGACCACTCCAAACATCACTCCGAGCTTCCGGGTCGAGTTCTGTCGACCGAGACCCGACTGCAGCCCCGTCCGTTCGGACCCACCTCTGGGCTTCGGGCCGGTGCTGGTCGTCAGCCGGTAATGTAATAACGGAGTTTGTTCCGACATTTTACCGAAGAAGTGTAAGCATAAATACGTTAATATACAGCATGAAGCCAGTGAGCTCAGTTCTCCGGAATGTTTACAGGTAGTTAAAATACCGACAGTCTGACAGCGATTCAGGAAGCGTGCAGCACCTGCAGGTAATCACCGCTAATTGGAAATATGACGTCATCTCCTGTCACTATCCAATCAAGTTTTTGCCTGTCTCTACACTCGTATGCCTGCAAAATATCTCACGACGCGCTGGACAATATATATATA